CTCCTTTAAAAAAAAAAACTTAAAATCTGCAACTAGCTTCGCTTCCTTGGCTGGCGACTAGAAAAGAGACTACACACGTTTCACCTGCTGCTTCTTGTAAAACTTATTGATAAGCAAGGAGTAGTATTATTTCTTCAGAAATGCATGTACACGCACAGGCTTTGGATGCTAACAGAACAACATAAATAATATCTACTCTGCTGAGACACACCAGTGCCCCACGCAATAGAATTATTATGTATTTATTATTGTTCCATTGTACATTTCCTAAGGGAATGCTAAGAATCTATTACAAATGTCATGTCCTTTTATTGGTATTATTCAGAGTATGTCTGTTGGTCTTACCAAAAGATAACACGGCACTTAAAGTTAAATAAAGCAAAATATCAGTCTGATCAGAACACCAGTGGGATTATTATCGTTTGCAAACAAAACGCAATGTTTGTTCATCAGCGAGTGAATTTGGCTTTATACATTTAAAGTTTCTTTTAAGGAACAATGTCCTTTAGTGTACTTTCTGGTCATGCCACGCTTTTGTTTCTTTTGTTCTTGTTTCCACTTTCCTGGCATTTTTCTATGTCAGTGTTTCATGTTCTTTGTATTTCACTCTGTGTCTCTCTGTCTGGCTGTATTTTATTTGCTGGCATGCAGGTCTGTAGTACGATTCGTTACTGGACGGTTACCTAGTGAGTCGTTGTTATTCAAATCTGTTGTCTGTGAACAATATCCTGGGGGGGAGGGGGGAGGATGCGGGAGCAACTAAAATACTAATTGATTGGGTATCGATTTGTTGATTTATTGGTCAATTGATTGACCTATTCGTCCAAAGCAAGGCGGGTTGTTGGAGGGTACCACTGGTAGGTCCTACTTCTTTACTTTCCTTCTGTTGTTGTTTTTTTTCGGTCTGTATTACTTTTTCCTAGCACTAAATTACAATTACTGTGTCGATCTGTTTCTCTTTACGCAAACAAACAAACATCCAAATCAAGGTATTTCTCTGTTCACTGTGTCAGCCAGCTAGTCAATCTGAAAGATAGAAATCACGAATGTCTCAGCTGAGAATGAAAAACAAAACTGGCCATAAGCATAATGTCGTCAGTCTATACTTTTGATAAGTTTTACGGCACCTAAACACAGTTAGGGGGCTCTCGTGGCCTAGAGGTTAAGGTGTTGGCCTCTCATTCAAAGGTCCCGGGTTCGATTCCGGGTAGCGACCAAAAAAATTTTCTTCTCTAAAATTGTCTCCTTTCACATCCTTTCCTGATCTCTAACAATGTTCTGTTGTCTGCTTTCATTTCCACTTTCTGCCCCCCACCCCCTCACCTCCTTTGCCCCCACCTCTGGGCTCCTGACTCTTTCTGCAGCCTTTCTACTGCTACTCCTTGGCTCCTCCTAACTGCTGTCTTTCTGCCACACCCCTGATCTTCTGGTAGGAAAGATCTACACCTAGCCTTCTCGGACAAGGGCGAAAAATCTCGGAGGGCCCGTGTGCAAGTTGCGCACGTTAAAGATCCCTTGGTGGTCTAAAATCGATAAGAGTAGGCTTCGGCCGCCACCCGGGCAAAATTCAAAATTTCCTACCAACGAAAAAGTATTAGGTGTATCCCGCGCGCTCATATGACCTTATGCAGTTGCGAGCGCCGTAAAACCCTATACTAAACAAACAAACAAACAAACAAACACAGTTAGGTCATATAAGTGCCGAAGATTGGATGTGTAAGAAGGGAGTAACAAACACCAACCAAAGACAGAGGGGAGATAAGGATGATAATGTTTGATAGGAAAGAAGGGGCAAACCACAACAATCATGCTCAGTCCTTTCATGGATGGACGTTAAACTCAGAGGTCCCGCCTCTTTAATAACGGAGTAGTTTTGATAGAGGTCTTAAACCCATACCATTTCACCCTTTCACCATTTCACCGTTTCAAAATTTCACCTCGCAGACAACCCGCCAATGACTCGCTGTCACAGTCTACTCTTCCTGTCCACAGAATGTCGCTTCATCTGCAAGTTCCTGTCTCTGGGCGTCACTGCATCCATCTTCATCTCGGTGGGCAGCATCGTCATCGTGGTGTCCTGCGTGGTCGCTGTCGTCTGCTGCTGTAGGCGGTTCTTCTGCCGGAAGTCGCAGGAGCACTCGAACAACACTTCCGGCGGAAGTGTCATCACCACAGCTACCACGGTTGTCGCTAACGGCACCAGTCATGCCGCGGGCGGCACTGTTGGTAGCAGCAGTTATTCCGGTAAATCTCTTTATGATCAAATAGTTTATGGTTGTTTTTTTTGGGGGGGGGGGGAAACTTAACATTTTCGTTTGACACTCATAAGTCTGGCTCTTTTGTTTTCTGGAGACTCACAGCAAGAAAACAAGAGAATTATATAATAATATTATGACACATCTGCAAGGCATTAGAAATATGAACTTGCAACCTACAGGGTGAGAATTTTGCTTAGGGGCGTTTTCTGCATTTGTTTGTGTTAATGCCAAGCGTATGTGCATCCTGTGCCATCCACGATACCAGCACTGGTATAAAAAGGGGGGGGGGGGGATTTACTTTCCAGCTTGTCATGGATCTTAGGCATGTTATGTCGAGAGGTAGGAACTGTTACTTTGTTTTTCACCTTGTACTTCTTCAACGAAGCTCAGGAATTTTACGGCATTTTCAACACGCTTATGTTCATATCAGTGACGAAGATTAGAGTTGTCACAAGAGAGTGTAAAAAAATAAAAAGAAGAAAGGGACGATAGATGTTTGACAGGAAGGAAGGAGCAAATCACAGTAATCATCATCATCATCATCATCATCATCATCATCATCATCATCATCATCATCATCATCATCATCATCATCATCATCATCATCATCATCATCATCATCGTC